AACTCTTTGTGGGAATACAGGCTTAGCTTCAAATATTTGTAATGTTAACATATTTTTAATTGACTTTCTTTTAGTTCTCTACGCAAGTGAGGCTGTTGTGTACTAAAACAGCGGTAGCTCGCATTGAACTGGGAAAATAAGGCTTATAAATGAATGCAGATTTGAGTTAAACTTGAATCTTGATGTGTAAGAATAACTGGCAGTGATGTTGGCCACATCATGAATGGCAGAAATGAGATCATGATGCCGTTAACTCTAAAGGAAGCGGTTATAAGCCGCTATGACGTCACTTGCCTTTTTCAGTTTCTAAGCCAAAAATGAGTGTCACAAAGCCATTTGAGTATGTATATTTTGTTTCTTTCAGTTCTAATCTGAGTAATTTCTAGAAACGTCGACTCAGACCACAGGCAACCCAAGCAAGATATTTGACTAATCAAAGTTTGAAATTCAAAAAATATTATTTTTTTAAATAAAATACATCTTGCCTAAATATMTCACTTGTCATTAAGCTAAAGAGACAATCTGACACTGGTGTGATCATTTCATCTGCAATCAAATCACCAGCCCGGCTAATCAGTTTTAAAACTTTTTTGATGCAAAACTTCTTGGCAGAAATACAAAGCTATGTACTTCTGGTTTCTTTGATGATAATTCATTAAGTTATGCAACAGAAACAAGTCGATTTATCAAAAATATTGTCACAAACAGCCAAAAGACGAAAATCTTTCACAAATAGAGCTTCATTACTAAAAAAGGATATCGTTAGTTTTTTTATTAGCTATTGTACGTCGCATCAAGACAACATTGCGCGGCTAGAATGGGTTATGTTATTCTTTATTGTCAATAAAATTTAGCTTTGTTATCAAATGTCGCGATAGGTAATTAAAACAGTCAACGGGAGGCAAATTACTACTTTATTCCACTTAATTTTCGCGATTTTATTAACACAAGTGGAAACAAGTCACTGTTGCGATTCTGCGCACCCAAAGCTTTTAATTAAAAATATTATTCAAGTTGAATACTAGCACACAACAAACAGCTTGTATTCATTGTTCAAAGTATAATTTCCTCGGATCTATGCATTGTTGGGAAGAACTCATCAGATGGCGGCATTAAAAAATAATTATGAGTCGTCATTTAATTTTCTTCACCGCTTTTGCAATATCTAATTTTTGCGATATTTTTCAAATCGCAAAATTCAGGAAAATTAAGTTACGCGAAAATTAAGTGGACTCGACTTAATAAGGTACATTATGTAAGGTAGGTACTCATAGAGGGCTTACTCGGGCTACAGGATATAGCAGTGTTCAGGGATGATTTATGGTATGGTATTATGCAGGAAAAATAAACAATTTTGACTACTAGCTGTTGTGGCATCCCGTACCTCACTGGACACATTACCAGCTAGTCATCAGTGAATTTGAGTCTTTTTAAAATGAATCAAAAAATTAAAATTTTCATTGTACGAGGCGGAAACCATAACCAAGCATTTGACTCGCAATRGATTGATGTCGTACATCGACACTGGGGAGAAACGAAAAAAAAAAGGTTTTCGTATACTTTAGTAGATTGTTGAAAATRAGAACAACCCCAGAATCTTTCTAGAGCTAAGCAGAGTCATGAAAACGCTCATTTAAGTGACCATCTCTTCCCATTTGCCTTTCATATTCGAAAGCTCTGTCACGAGTTTCGGATCAAGTTATCTTCAACATCCTCTTCTACACAGCTTCGTTACAGTTTTACAAAGCAGCAAGGGATGTTTTTTTCTATGGCAAAATTAAGACAAACTTGATGCCAGAAATCGACCAGAGAAGATATATAACCCCAAAAAATGTCACAATTGTGACTAGAAAGTGATACAAGGGTTTCTGCCGTATTGGTACGATATACGGCATATTGCCTTAGATAAGGAAAAATAAAAAATAATTTACATCAAGAAATAGTTCTTGAAACCCAACGAAGTAAGGTCTACGATGATGGACAAGTTGATGGACAGCTCTTAATCAAAGTTCCCTTTGCCTCAAGWCCTAAAATATTACCCCATAAAACCACATCKTCTGCTGAGCTTGGGAAAGAAAAGCACACTTTAGAATGCGATGATATTGCTGTAGCGTTGAAAGCTTTTGACGAGATATTAAGATCAGCCATATACCCAACCATGAGTTTATTGGAGTCGAAGCCTCCTTTATAACTTCCTTGGTATTGTCCAACGATTAGCGTACCTCCTGGAGGGACGTGACTATTTTGTTGTAGTCCAACTTCAGAGCCTTTTTGGATACCATTATGATAGAGAAGTACTTTGCCAGTATTGGATGTCCATGTAATCGCACAGTGCTGCCATGAGCTGTCTCGTTTAAATCCTGACTGTATACTCCTAAAGACAGTTATAAAGCATTATATTCCTCTTAATACTGTCTAAAACCAGTTTTCTTTACTTCAAACACTCGGATTCGGGTTTGCATTGAAGACCAAGGSCTTCGGCTCATCTCCTGACCTTGACCTTGGATTTCAATGCAAACTGTTCTCCAGCTATACCCCTGTTTACCAACGACCCTTGACCAACTACATGCATCACAGAGSCTTTGCCCTCGCTTTGCCTTACTAAAAAAACTATTTCGAAAGTTGCTTTGTGGGCCATAACCAACAACACAGGAAGCCCACAGTAGTTTGCTCAAAGATACTTACTTGGCCCTTCCTAGGATCGTTATCTCAGCTATTCCATCAGTGTTTATAGCAACGCTTAAGGCTGATGTTATCGATGRCGTTGCGTAGGTAAACGGGTAAAGTGTGACGCCGCTATTAGCAGGAACATTGAGCCAAAGTGATATTGTGAACTCAGTAAGTTGCTTGGAGCTCAAGGCATTGTCCATAGATATCAGGCTGCTAGTGCTAGCAAACGGCCAGTACAACTCACATTTGGTATTCCTTGAAGTACCTGTCAATAATAAACAATAAAAATCATAAAATAGCGATGATCGTGATGCTGTTCAGAATGCTCACTGACTTTTATCGCAGTTAGTACCACTGTATCCTGTTGCGCAGGTACAGCTATATCCATTGACTCGATCCGAACATGTTCCGCCATTTTGACATGGTTTACTAGAACACTCGTTGATATCTGGAATAAAATGAACAAACAACATCTCTTTAGAAGCAAAGATCTGTACTGTTATGTAATAATTTCAACTCACTTGTGTCACAATTTGTACCRGTAAATCCTGTCKTACATGTACAATTGTAACCATTGACCTGATCTGTACATGTTGCACCATTCTGACAAGGGCTACTTGAGCACTCGTTAATATCTGACAGAATAAAATTAAACTGCTTTTTACCAATGCCATTATGAGAAGACTTGAGTGAGGAAGAGAGACGATGCTAGAAACTCACTTGTTTCACAATCTTTACCAGTGAACCCTGTCGTACATGTACAATTGTAACCATTGATTTGATCTGAGCATGCTCCACCATTCTGACAAGGCTTGCTTGAACACTCATCTATATCTGAAAGTTTTAAATGTATGTGATAATGATTAATGACTGAACGCCTAGGGGTGTGCTTGTGTTTACTACTCACTGTTCTGACAATGTGATCCGGTGAATCCTGCCGTACATTTACAAATATAGCCTCCGGTCAGATGTGTTGCCATGCAACCAAGAGAACAAGTTCCGCCATTAAGACATATGCTCGTTTGGCAACCAAACTGTTAACAAAAGACATCAGAAAGTCCTTGAAATTACATAAACAATAACTTGGTTCGCTGAAGGCACTTGAAAGTCATCAGTTAATTGCTATGTAATGATATGCCTTGGACAATATTATATTTTACACCATCACAAACGTTGCTTTTAATTGTATGTTATTCGACAGGACGACATTGTACTAGTATTGTTATCTATTAAACGTATGTCAAACGACTGCGTTTTATCACTAAAATACCTCGTAAGACTTGGAGAGTATCTCTTGAAAGAAACTTTGTTTTGTTTTGCTTTTCATAACGTCTACTTCGAATCGTATCTGATCGCACGTTTCAGTTTTTGAACATTATGATGAAATGTGCGGAACGCGGTCAACACAYACTGACAAATTTTCCGAGTAAGAATTCAAATAGTTCAATAAGTTTTTCAAAAAGTTGTAAGTTTCTTTGCATGTAGTCACTCAGAATAAGGAGATAGCTTTTAAACGTTAAAGTTGTTCATATAAGCTTAAATTCTATTTTTAGTTAAATTAGTTTAATTATCCTGTTTTCAGAAACTCAAAACCGAGGAAATTCCAAATATCTTACTTTCTCAGGTCGTAATTGTGAGTAGACAAAGCCTTGTCGTTTTTCAAACTCTTCTCCTTCAGCTGACGTTTCATCTTTGACTCCATAGTCATTTAGCTCACATTGCCCGGTGGTAATTTGAAAATTGATCGAAATACACCATTGGTGTCTTTGACATCGAAGACCACACTGAATGAAGCTTACTTCACGTAAAGATTGTCGTACATGTCCTTTGAGAGTGYTATCCTGCTTAGTTACGATAGAACCATCCGAATGGAGACTTGGACAGGAGTGTAGATGATCATGGCTTCCATCGCAAGAAAACATCCAGTTGAAAACGATGAAGAGAATGGTAGTCAAAGTGTTCATCTTGTTATGTTTTGAATTTGTTTCCTTGTTTAGACAAAAATACTGATCACAAGCGTCGCGAAGCGGAATAAATAAAAACTTCCATAGCAAAAGGTGTTTTTTGAAATATAATATATATCGGCAATGTCGTCGCAACGCAACTAGCCAATCACGTGGTTCGTTCGCTCAAAGGCCGCTTACGTGGGTTTTCTACGGCAATATTCTAAACTTTGGAAATTGCGCTAACAAATTGCGCACGGTTTTGAGTTGTATGTCCTCTTATTGACATACTCTTGATGTCATAAAATGTTCAAAACTCAAGTGGACCCACGAGCGCAGCAAAAACTGTGTGCGATCTGTTTTTGATCACATTTTAAACAAATTAGCAAAAATCATTCTTTTTATTCGACTGAGCGCACATGCGATGATGTCACACAGGGTGCATGTCTTCTTATGACACACTCTAATCAGCCAATCAGCCAATCTTACGTTTTAATGACAAAAGGGCACAAGACCGTCTACAGTGTCTATATAGGCTTGATGCGAAAGCGTTGCTGGTTAAGAAACGTAGATGTAGTGTCATAGTTTGCGCATGATTCTATCTTGCGTTTTAATGACAATGCACGYGAGACTGTGTCATAATGTCCATTCTGCCACTGTTGCTCGCGTCTTTTTTGGAATTGACGGAATATTAAAGCGCTTGCATCAAAGGTCTTAAAGTAGGATCGCTCTTTTCAAAGCACATTAAAATGAATGGGGACAATCGGACATTTGTCAAATTTCTTCTTACTAACTTTACAAAGCAGGCACAGTGAAAGAAAGTCAAATATGTATTTATTTATGGTTGCATAAGCAGTGAAGCATAAAAGCGATATGTTATGTCAGTCCGGAAACAGTGTTACGCCACTTTCTMATTAAAACTTTTTATTCATCTATTTATTGATAATTTGTCGAGATTGTCCAAAGTTTTGCCCTGATTGGTTGGCTCCGGCTGGTGATCCCATCTGTAGGCTGATATGCGATTTTCCTTGATTCAGCTGTTCTTCTGTAAAATGTCGTGGGTTTTTGGTTGATTCYTTTGGGCCTAGTGGAGGTACGTCCATACCCATAGCGTGTGCCTRTCAACATAAAACATTATTATAAATAGCAGGTATAACACTTACCACAGTGACGGACCCAGGGGACTTGACACCCTTGATTATACTACAAATATTACTAATGTTGTACTCATGATGAAATCACTTTCTTACGAATAATGATCTACAGGGTTCTAGGGTTTCTCTCTAGATCTGATGTACTTTGGCGGTGATCTGTTGTTTGAAAAATTYCTGATCTTTTATCTGTCTTCTGGGGKAATAACCCATCATGGGCCGTCCCTGAGTACCCTGATAACCGGTGTCATGGTTTCGCCTCTMAAGCGTTACGTTACTTACCCGTCGACCCACCGCAGTCATACAGTTGAGGACCTACSAAATACGACACACAAACGTGTTAAAACCTTACCATCTTTTTTCATACAAAAAAATCAATGTCGATCATGCGATGCTGCGACCAAAGACTTCCATAGGAAATAATGACATTATTACATCCAATCAGTTACAGATTCTTGTTTTGGTATTTACTATTATTTGAAGTCTTATTTATCGACATCCCCAGTACCATAAGTTGATGAAGTACTTACATTCAGCATGTTTCTGTTTTCGTACAAATCCACCGTCTGAAACAAGTCGTACTGAGCCACACCAAGGGTTTCGYCACAAAATTTAAGAAAGTTGCTGATGTTTTCCATCTGAGAAAATGCACAATGATCAATGACATCATCCCTCTATGTGAGCATGCGCAAATCATGATTTTTGTCACGTGGTAAAAGGTATACATATGTTATGACGGATGTACAATTATTYATTCTGCTCTCTCCTGATTGGCTACTCCGTGGTGTCCAATCTACTCGTACGGATAGGAAATCATGTATTTTGGCCCTGAAAAACCACGTGACTACTGACCTGTTTAAATGGCATTTTCTGTTGATTTATTCGTATTTCTGCTCCGAGTTTATTTGCGAGTCTGAAATGTAATTTGAATCATATCATAATTCTAGTATGAACCAAACTATGGACTATCACAAATTTAGYATTTTGATTGCCTAGTGAACTATAATGTATTCATACATACGATCGCATGGAATGAATTGAAAATAGTCGAAAAAATGTCGCTGAAAAAATTGCTTTTTATGGTCTTTTTTTATCTTTGTTTTCTAAAAAAAGAATATCCTGTCTAAATTTTTCAATATAACTAGCCCGACTTAACGCTTTAAGAGCGTCTAGTTTAATCAAAATATGCATACTATATAAAATGCACACATTTAAATAAATTGGACCTAAAATCGTACCATGTCTGGCTAATGTAACAATTTTTAAAGCAATGATAAAAGAAAAGAACGTACTTTCAAACACTAAAACTGTGCAACATAAATAGCCCTCGGCTATCAGAAGTGTTTTTACATCAAGTGCCTATAATTCTTAGCGCTAAAACAAGGGAATTTCGTTTCATTTACGTTACTTTATTGTTAGGATGTCTGTATGAAGCCATTTCGTTTCATCTACGTTACTTTATTGTTAGGATGTTTGTATAAAGCATACCTGCAGAGCACGTTACTTTATTGTTAGGATGTTTGTATGAAACATACCTGCAGAGCACTTGGCCATCCTTGAGAGTCTCCTGAATGCCGTCGGCTCCAGACCTCCCCTCGAATACTGGTTCACCAATCACACACTCGATCCAGTCCTTCACCTCTGCCTCTTTCTGAAGGTTGTACTTGGAGTCAATCTATTAATAAATGAACACAATTAAAATACTTATCCAGGTCAGCTGCGGAGAACAAACATTCCTTGTAAATATACATTTTTTGTGAATATACGTTTTCAGGTATTAAAATACCTGATTCATTTAGTTATGCATTCCAGGGGGAGGATCAAGCAGGGGGTACCGTCGACAAAAAATGGCRGGGAATTTTCGTGCGAATTTGACTTGCTTCATCAACTCACTTATCTTCAATGGAAAATGCAAATGATAAATAAAAAACGACGACAATCAAATGTGTTTTTTGAGTGTTATTTTATTTTTCTATGTTTTCTTGTTGTCGTTTAATGTAATAGACCCCTCCCCCCAMCCGCCTAAGTCCATTTCGGTATTTTAACATACGTATGTCAATAGAAAATTTTCCACTTTTCTTAATTTGTTGACCTCCCTTTACGCAATGATGAGAAACGAGAAAGAAATGAACGGCGAAACATGGTGGTACTTATAGCATTATATGAAGAATAGAACTCATAGTGGCGTGTTTACTAACAACTGACACTCAACTGTGAATTGAAGTGTTTAAAGACTATCTACTTAGAACCAATTTGTTTTTCATCGAGCAAAAATTTATTTTCACGTCTTCACGTACTGGAAACAAGCTTGTATGCACGTACTTTATAAACCGCAAAATAAACAATACTAATACACAATAACTTCATGAAATAGTGCTGGGATACTTTAGGAAACAAGAAATATTATAAAACAGCACCGACTTTGTACGAGATTTACGTTCAAATGGCAATCTTCAGCTGGGGTGGCAGACTTAATGCGCTCCATAAAACTAGCTCCGTTAAGCCCGACTGATTCACTGGTTAATCAATAAATTCTTTTCATTTACGGTTTTTTTTTTAATTTTTTTCCGACCAGCTTGCGGAGATCTGTCAACAYCAATGGATACCGACTTAGAATAAATAAAAGTGTTTAACTCGGAAGTTTATGTATATCGATCGTTTGTATTTCGATGGCAAGTTTTTGCATTCCTCCTCCCACAATGCAAACAACAGTTGTCAAGATGTCGTTGTATGACTTCCAAATTTTCTACTCTCGTTCGTTTCAGTAATGCCGAAGGAATTGTGTTGTAGCTGGGTTCAAAACAACAACAGTCCAGTGACGAAAACAACAACAAAACAACAAAAGCAATGAAACAAAAAAGTTAACAAACAAAAAAATAACGCAAAAAAATCAAATAAAAAACAAAACGAACAAACAAACACGGTAAATACAAACACAAAAAAGGCCCCAAAAAAACAACAAAACGAAACAAAACAGAGCAAAACAATCAAAAAATAAAAAAAAACAAGAAAGAAAGAAAACAAAGCAACAATAATGGTGATTTCTAGCTGTTTAGAGTTTTACTATCAGATTTTCCAGTCTTCAAAAAACTCAGTTCATATAATTGACAAAAGCTGCTTAATTCCACGAGTGTGTAGCGCTGTGGAATTTATGGCAGGAATACATTTTGCCACACAAATTACTCCAAAGGAATAMAGATGTCACACATGACCTCAACAACACTGATAACACAGAATTTAAAAAAAAAAATGACACAGTTTTCCAAAAAGGCACAGTTACAAAAAAAGGAATTATGTAAATTTTGTAGACTAACATATGACATGAATAAGCAAAGAGGAAAATAAAGACGAAAAAACATACATTGTATGCAAGCAGGTGTAAATGGCTGACTTTGAATTCAATATGCTGTAATGTTAAACGAACACGCGAATTCGATCCAAATATGATGAATAACCCCAAATACAAACGATGGATAAWCTTACCGAATCAAAACTATAGAATAACATTCATTTCAAATCTAAGAATATAAAACGCCCTAACTCTCAAGGCTTACGGTATACAACGCTGTCACTCTTCCGCATATAGGAATAAATTCGCTGTCAGTAGAAATAGTAAAATATGATCAATCAACCAACATTATATTTTAGGTACTACAAAAAAGCAATGACGTTTCTCACTACTAGAAATTAAAGGCAGGCATAAACACTTGAATGCAATTTAGATCGAAGGATCTATAGTATAAGCATTTGTACATGATCTGCTACGTACGTGAACCAAGTCATTACCTCAAATTCTTTCTAWGGTGTGCTCCCATTCAAAATATTCTACTTCACATTTAGTCAGGTTCACGTTGTGGACGTCATTTCAATTTTTACTCTCGACGGTTCTCTTAAGCACTGATCGCCAGTATTCATAGCGCTTACAATTAAATTAGGCAACGTATTTTTCAGATATTTAAGTGAATACTGTTCATACAAAGGTTTGCTAATGGTTACATTGAATTTTTTCTCGATCTAATGTACCTTTGTCTGTATCTCCCTATCCAGACCGTAGACTTGAGYTCGATGTGCCATCGTTTTACATGTACATCAGAGAAATAGATAGCAAATTGACAATACACAATAATTCTGCAGTGGCCTTACAGTATGAATTATTCAAATCTCACCGCATGCTTCATATGGAAACACCTTTCGGAAGAGAGTCGGACACATTTCGTCAATGTGATCATTTGCTTGCAAGATTTCTACTCAAAACCGCATATTAGTGGCTAGTTTCAAGTTTTTACAAAATAATCCTCTTAAAGAACACACTGTACTTATTAACAGAAAAGAGACACCAGRCTAATGGACGATCGATAAAAAAACACTCGTAGTCTTATTTTCAACAACAAAATGCAAATAAAAACGACACAAAATTAACGAAAGAACGAAAATGCGGAGAAAATATATAAAGTAAAAGGAATAAAAAAAAGACTTTATGATGAAAATTAGAAAGTATACATTAAAAATAAAGTGAGAAAGTCATTCTGATCAAGTATATAAAAAGAAATTGCTACAAAGAAAAAAAGTATTTGGAAATTTATTAGTTATATGTCTAAAATTTATTTTATTACAAAATTCTGTCAATATTTACAAATTATAATAGTTCACAAATGACCACACAAAATATTCACACATTAAAACCYAAATCCTAACTAAATATATTATACAATGTATAGTAATGATCAATAATCACTGGCAAGCCTGCTCGGCACCGATATTGAACGAGTATGGATCGTCGGGTATAAACCGGAGCTGAGCTGAAATATAAAAAAGGAAAACATTCCATAATCACAACAATAGAATAACATCACATGATAAAACATGACATTATCAGTTCTCGCGAAATATCTTTGATATTAAAATGTTAATGACATCCATTATGTCCATAGTCTGTGTGCAGCCGAACCAAAAGTGTTTAGATATTCGACGTATATAACAGTTTCGGTTTGGCTGCACGCAGGCTATGTCAAAGGACAACAAAAACTCAAATTMTCTCACAATTTGTTTCTYTACTCAGTCTTGCTTTTTATATCATAGCTATMATAGAACGCGCTCTCTGATTGGTCGAATGTTATTGTTTATATCACCGGTAAACCCACGGATGCGAAAATGCTATAATATAAAAGCAATAAACACATTTTTGTGAGTTACTTGTGAAATAAACTCCTTGGGATATTGGGCAAACAATCTAAAGGMTGAAGATCTCTCCTCCGTCTCGAGATTGTTTACGTSTTTTTCGTGTTGTCCCAAAATCGCGCGTGGTTTATTTCACCAGGRACACATGAAAATGTATTTCTTACTGCTTATATTATCAACCATAAAAACCTTTTGCTGCGATGACAAAAAATCAAGAAAGAGATCTATTATAACTTTATATAATTATCAACACAATTTTGCCMGAAACACAATTTATGCACGAAATTGGACGGAARGTTACTGAAAATGTTTGATTGGCTGGCCTCGGTTGATGCATGGTAAGATGACCATACATGTGTATAAAATCAATAACTGAAAAATACATGAATGAGAATTGATACAGAAACCAATGATCAACACACTTGCAAAACATCTGTGCTAATCTGATATAGTTTACGAAATCCATTATGGTTTATTATTGTTACACAAATTAGCCATGCGGTCTTCCAGATTGAAAGGATTAGCAAATATTGAACGATCGACTAGCTCTATACAATATATTCTTGCACAAAACATTATTTCAAGTTAATAAATGATGATGTATCGGTATATTTGGAAGTTTTGTAATTGTTCCTTCTTCCATTTTTTTTTGTAACAATTCTAAAAAAAATTATTTTTTCAACAATTGCCTGAACCAGTTGATATTGTAGGAATTTATTCATTTGATAAACGATAACAGTGTATACTGATGAAATATTCAATTTGATGTTGTTTGCCTTGAAAGACCACGTGGCTAATTTCCATKTATATGGATTCCATCATGGTGGCTATCGTGAATAAGACCTGTTGAACTAAAATGTTTGGAAAAAAGAAACGATGATTTAGTAAACATTTGGACTTACACAAATACTCCGATCCAGCACTAGTAGCAAACTCTTTCCAGTCGACAAGATATCTACACAAACAAACACAAATAGTGATGATATATTTTGAACTAGACTKGTTGATGTGTAAACTTACTGATCAAAATTGAGCCCATTTGTCCATTCAAGAAGCTCATCTACCTCCCAGTCTTCCACGGCCTCACTCCCCCGTGCGTCAGCAGCGTTAACCATTCCCTGGGCAACAGTCTCAATGATATTYTGAGTTTCTGAATCTTGCTCCTGTTTGGCTTGTAACATACCTTGTTTGTACCTAGGGAGGGGAGGGTGCTTGTTAGGATGCCATTTTTTGTGCGTACTGTGCATTCCCTTTTAAACTCACATTTTCTTCATCCATTCAATTTTCTTTTGTTTTCTCTTCTTCTCGAGATCTTGTTTACGAATAACCTGTGCAAAAAAACAATTAGAACAAAAAAGGAATTTACTTTTTGTAATGCACTATACATATAATATTTCAAGGTTGACGATTGRACGGGATTTCAAACTCAGTGCAAGCATAATTCCCTGACGATGCTGTACTCAGCGAAAGCTCGGAGTCATTTCAGTAAACAAGATCTACACTCAGCAGCTTCAGCTACATTTGTACTTTTCCCAGCGCAATTTGTTCCACTCCGAGGCGAAGCCGAGTAAGAATTGCAGAAAAATGGGTGCAGTTCAAAAACTTATACACGCTCRATTCTCAAAATGYCCTGTAGTGGCAAGAGACGGGGGGTCAGAGAGGTATTACCAGGGCTRAAAACCCCATTTTCAATCCCAAAAATATCCCTATTCTCTAATACCTTATTGTGGTGAAAAGCTGCTGTTTTCTGTGCGGATTCAAATACAACTGGATCTTGGTCTAGTTTCTGAACAACCTGAAGCAAGAAACACATTCAACATCGAATTGTATAATTCTCATTAATCTTTGCTTCATAGTTGAACCTTTCCTTCGAAAATTCATTGTTTGTTATTTTTTTCTCTTGAAGTAATTATTCAAGCCCAACGCTTGAACATAGTTAATAGCACTGTCTCGCGCGCCACAAAAACTTACCGTGTGCGAAGAACAGTGATAGTGAGTGACAATGCAATACATTGACGATATTACATTTGGTCTCTTGGAGATACGAATTTTATCTTCTCGTGTTGAAAATCTCTCAAAATCTCTCAAGAGATCTTTTCAACACTGGAAGATAAATTCCGTATCTCCGCGCGCCCATGTAATATCCTCTACTTATGCAGGAATCCCGCATTCTGAAACATTCTGAGTCTAATAGACTACTATCTTACTTCAGACCCCCTGGAAGCCAACAAGGCCCTAAAGGAATACTGACCCTGTCTGACACTAGTCTCCAGCCATTGTTTTCCCATCGCTTGTAACAGTATACTACACCT